ATCAATGTTATTACTTGAAAAAACTTGATGAACTCGCCGGTTTTTACCGGTCTGGAAATACTTTTAGACCGGCCGGTGACTGGCCGGACCGGACCGGTCTAGTATTTCCAGACCGGTTACAACTCTGAGACATGCAACTGAATCCGTTTATTTTCTCCCACATCCGAGACTTCGACCTCATCTTCGATTTGTTTTTCTTGTATTCGTTCGTTCAGTTGAGATTGTTATCGTTGTTTCTTGATCAATATTATTCCCATTTAATTCATCATCTGACTCATCAACTGCCAATGCTTGTTCGATTTTCATTATGCTTTAAAAAAGAGAGCGGTTTTTAATATTTTGGCTGTTCGCTTATAGATTTAATTAATGTTTAATTTCCATTTTGAAACTGTAATATTAATAAAAGAGACTTTTTAAATGTTTAGTTGTAAATTATAAGATTTTATATTATTTTGAAATGGTTTGGGTTTTCTGTTATTTTTGCTGGAATTGTTTTAGTTTTTTATTTTGCATAAGTTAAATAGTGACCTTTAAACTATTAAATATTCTTAATATTTCATGTTTTCATATTTCTAAAAATAATTTAACTCATCAGTTTTACTGTTTATTAACAACATAGTAACATTGATTGTATGTTTCAGTAAAAAGAAAAGAAGTAGAAAAAATCACTGTCAGTAGAAAAAGATAGAAAAAAGGAAATTGATTTGGTCTGAATCGTTTACTACCCATATCTGACTGAAACAGCGAGCATATTCTAAGACTTGGTCACGACTGATGTATTTTGTTCATTGTGATGAGCCGCTGTATTTAGGATTTTATTAAGTGTCAATTATAGTGTAATTTAGTGAAAAGATTCCTGATATATTACTTTTCGTGGGAAAATTCTCGTTTTAGGACATATTCACTACAAAAGGGTCATACAGACGGTAGTAATAGAAAAAATTCCATAAAACCTATTTCCTAATGGTTCTTTTAAACCAATTAGCGCTAATTAGTAGTCATTATACGACTAATTAGTAGTAGTACTATACGATCACCTTTAATACTTTTTTCTCAGGGAAGTTAATATACCAGAGAGCTGAAACTAACGTTATCTAAATGAGCTTTTCAATCGGTACTACTTGGCATATATGTTTGGGGATTTTGAAGAAAACTAGAGGCCTAAATCAAGAATTTCTCGGATTTCTTAATTCGCATGGGGTGATAGCAATTATTCTCGCAGGATGACGAAGAAAAAGTTCCTTAGATGCGTTGATGGAATATGATCATACGAGAATTGATTGACTAATTCACATTTTAGTAGTCACAAGTAGATGATACAACGTGAAAGAAACGAGAAAAACTATATGTCAATTCGACTTTTTACCATATGCTGTTTCGCTTCAGACGATCGATTCTCACAGATTATTTAACATCTTTATGAGTAACAAAAATACTGAATGCTATTAGCCGAAACGCTATTACCACTTACGGATTTGAGCCCAATCTTAATTTAGCGGATGGACTACAGATATGAAGTTCATTTTAAAGCAGAAGAAAAAAGCTTTACCCAACGTATAGTTCTCGTATGATCTTCACAGGTCAGAGGTCAGTATTTTTCGTAGTTTCGAAGAGAGAGCGAAAAAGTGGGAATAAAACCTGAAACCTAATTTACGGTTTCCAAAGCTCTCGTGAAAAACTTTTAGAAGAAAATTTCATTTTTTTCCATTTTCTGCATACTGAAGTCTTAAATAAATGGTAGTGTGAAAAAAAATATTTGGCGCTGTAATAATTGTTGGACAATGAAATAAAGGCAAAAAAGAGGGCTTTAATAAATACGTCGATGTTTAATGAACAGTGGATATATAATTTTTGTATTTTCTTATGATTTTTAAACTCGGCATTTCTTTGTCTCGCATTACAACTTCGCTAAAATTTCATCCGATCGAGCCAAAAATTTTACCAGAGGTACTTAAGGTAATATCGCAGAGATGTTTTTAGGAATTTTTTTGAGATGTTTCCTTGTCGAGTTATACGAAAAATACCGGAAAACGTCTAAAAAACCAAGGTTTTCAAATTCAGAAACCCTATAACTCGGTAAAGAAAGCTCTAAAAGAAAAATCAAAAATATACTTCTGTATAATAGCCATTAACAGACGAAAAAACTCTCATCCAATTAAAATAATTAACATTTCAAGCAGTTATTTCTGGGAATTTTAATAAAATACCGTTATTATTAACTATTGTTCATCCAAAATAAGAATACTCCATGGCTATTTTTTGACTAACCATTAATTGAAGATAGATAGAGTGGTGCAATTTTTAGCAATCGAAAGAAGACACTTTACTGCATATTTTCCCAAGCAAAATTGTTTTTCGAAAAATTTCAAAACCTAGTTTTTCAGACGATCTCTGGGAAACCAATTTATAACAAAAAACTGTTGCATAGTAATCTATTGATTTTTTTCATAGACATTCGTTCATAATGCATTGAACTGTTCATCACTCAATTTAAATTTTGATCTAACACATTCTAAAAGTTAGGGAAAAAGTGAAGTATTCAGTCTTAACTCTTTGGTTTCTTCACTTAAGATATATTCTTTTGTAACAGTATGGACCTCGATGAAGCTTTCATCAGAGAAAAATTCAGCCAATTTTTGAGCGATAATAAAGTAATAACTCGTTGTACAAACCTACAACTCCTCTGTAATTTCAATATTCAGTGAAAGATAAGGAAAACAAAAAGCGACGCTTACTTAACAAAAACGAACGGGAGAAAACCCATGACACAGTTTGATTGTGCAATAACTGAATACATTACGTAACATAAAATTGTAATATAAAGTTTCAACCATCTCTCTTCATCGAAGAGAAACTTTTATTTCAAACATGGCAGCCACTTCACAAAGTTCAAAATTTTTACCACCAACAAACAAGCAACAACTCAAAGCTCTTGGCGGTATATATAAAGTAATAGTCAACTTTGTAATTCAAACTATAGCAGTTATGATTTTTCAATAATTACGAATGTTCATTTACTTTACGTTATTCTCTGGAATTTTAGCTGAACGGCGATATTCGACGAGCTATTACAGTTGGAATCGATGAAAGTTTCCTACCAATTCCCATTCCGAAAGGAGGAGACTGGCTAGATGTGCACGAAGAAACTGGCCAGACCGTTGGAGAATATGTAAAAATGTCAAAAACAATCCCAACATCAACGTAAGTGTTAACAGTGAAATAGACTTCCCCAAATCCTCAATTCTCAAAACTTGTACGGTTCTCTTCTATTGAAGGCGGACAACAGTCTATATCCAACAAATTGGCAATTTCGATCAAACGAGGTATGCTTTGATTTTTTTGTGACAAACCTTTGCGAACTTTGTTTTTGGATTACAGATCTCCCTCATTAGATCTGATTTGTGAGTTTTCACATCACTTTTTCGGCGGCTGTTTAACATTTGAAATTTTACCATCAATCGACTTCGAAAAATCAACAAAATCTCGTGTTAATAAACATACTAAACAGCCACAATATTTAACAGAAAAGAGAACGTTCAGATATTGCATGTGTGATCAAAATAGATCCATCGTAAAGCGGATCCAAACCTGACGGCAACTCCAGACACACAAAAAAGTTGACTTATTAAATTGGTTAATTCCTTTTAAAACCGATTTTTTTAATAAAAATTAAAACGCGTTATCAAATTGGAATAACGCAATTAAAGATTTTTTGGAGACAAACCAAGTCTAATACTTCTTTCCACATGTTGTCTGTAAGCGCGCATAAAATTGTACTGTAAATTTGAAAATAAGTTATAGAAAACAAAAAACGATTTTCAGTTTGTCCATATACAAATTCGCCCTCGATTTTCTGCATTCTCGAAACTATGATTTTCAGGAACTTTGCATTTTTCATGGAAGGCGCTTTGATTTTACAGAAAATCAGGGACGATTTTTTAACACGACAATCGTCGATGAATTCGTATGTGGATAAATCGAAAATCAAAAGCAGAATTTATTTTCAAGAAACCAGAAAATGACTACGAATTTTTAGTTATCGTCACATAGGCTGCCCTTGAACACGGGAGAAGTGACTCATCAAAATTTTAGATTTGAACGAAACCCACAGGGAAAGTTGACATGTCGGTACCCATGCATATAGATATATGTTATATACCTGTATATCAGCAAATATTGCGTGCTCTTATATATTGATGCAATAGCAAAACAAAAAGGGTGAATGAAAAGAATCAAAAAATTATTTTATTTTAATTTTCTGTGTTGATTTTCCGATCTTATGAAAAATGAAGAAATAATTTCTAGCAAAACAGGAATCATTCAGTATTTTTCAACCTTTTAGAAAACCGATTTTCTTGAAAATCGAATTAACTATTCATAAATTAGAAAATGGACGTTTTCAACTTCCTTATAAAACCAAATACACTTTTATAAACGCGGTAAAGTTGTTTTCGATTTTCAGAGTCGATTTTTCATAAATTAGAAAATAGTTCAGAATAACAGTGTGGACAAGATAACTCTTGTTCACTTTTTCAGTTCAATTTATTAAATGGAAAAATTTTAAATGATGTTGTTCAGAATTTAACGCTCTGGTACTTAAAACGGAGTTATAGTGCTCTTTGGTTTTCTGAAAAACCAATTCTTGGCTTTCTACCCGATACACACTTTTTCCTCCCCTTTCGACCCTGCCAGTCGATAGAAAATGAAAAGTCACCTCTATGGTGAAGCTTCTGAGTTGTTTCAAGCTTTCCTTACGTTCCAGTAGCAAAAACACTTGTTAATATCCAAACATTTTGTACTTTTTGGATGGTTTTTTGAACTTTTCGACCACTTAGGCTTTAACAGGAGAGTTACTAAGGCCATATTCTGTAAGAGCAAACATTTCTACATACTTTTTTATAAACTTAATTTTTCTCAGCTTTAAAGGGCGACTTCGTGATCAGCTTAAAAATCTGCATCTGGTGCATGTATTGGTGTCAACATTTAAGTAAAAACGTTTTCTAGAAATCCTTTGAAGAACGAAAGGGGTAAAAAAGCTTTCAGAAAAATTTCGGGAAACTAAGCGTGGGGCCATATTCCTAGTGACTCATTGATATGTTTGCGATAGAAAAAAATACAAAAAAGTTCAGGAAAAATTTTCTAAATGATCCGCCCTTGTCCTTTGTTTCAGAAAAACACACAGTTTCGTAACGAATGTATTTCGCTGCGAAATCTACATTCGTATACTATCTTTCGTTTTGAATAACGTTGAAAGATATCAGATTTGATTTGACCTGAATAAATCGAAAAACGATGATGGCTTTTTGTGAAAAATGGCTCCTTTTACTTTTGGAAACTCCGGATCTCAAGGCAAAAATGGTCTGAAGTTCCTAAAACTTTTCATAACTTTTGTTTAGTATACTGAATGAATTGGGCACTTGTACAGAAATGTTTTCTCTTGACCACGGTATGGCCTATAAGAAAAATGCGGAGATGCGTGCTTTAAGAAAAACGAACCTTCTTAATTTTCTTTGTGGCAGTAAACTTAGTGCAAGATCCCTTATTTGTCAAACAGCAGCAGCTCCATGACCGTATTATAGGTGAACAAACTCAAATCTGTTTGACTGTTTGAAAAAACTGAAACGCAAACGCCATCGTAATGATAGCCATGAATTATTTTGTATTGGTGTCACAATGGCTGACCTATATCCGCAGGCTGACTGGAATTTTGTTTATGGTGAAGCTGATATTGACCGTGGAATTGGATTATGGTCGTTTGCACGTCTTGATCCATTATTTCCTCTTACTGAAGAACAACAATGGCAGATACCAACGGAAGAACAAAGAATATTGATATTAAAACGAGCAATAGGTGTTTTCCTGCATGAATTAATTCATCTGTTTGGTATGGAACATTGTATTTATTATCTGTGTATGATGAATGGAACTGAACATGAAGAAGAAATGGATGAGCAACCGTTGTACTTGTGTCCGGTTTGTTTGAGAAAATTATATTCGTCACTGGAAAAGGTGGATTTCGATGTAATACGAATGTATCAAGGAATATTAGACGTTTGTAAGAAATTCAATTTCAAAGAAGAAGCTGAATGGTATGAAAATAGAGTGAAACTAATTCATAGAGAAAAAGAAGATCTGTAATGTTTTTTCGTCTTATTTGATGGCTTGCATGCATTATCCAAATCGTTCAGTACCGATTTTGCTTATGAAACATTATTGTTTTCAGAAGTCAGCTTTTTTTCTTATCTCGCATAAGATAAAAGGCGCAAAATACATTAATGTCTACTTGAGTCCAAAACGGGATGGTCTTCCACGATGAAAGCGTCGCTTCTTGAGACCGCTGGTTTGGCAAAAAAGAAGTAGAACTAATCTTTTACAGTACAGACGCATGCTCTATATCCCGATCGGGATATATATCCCGTTTTGAATCAAAATATATCCCGATCAGGATATAGCCAAAAAACATATAGTCCAATCGGGATATAAATTCGATTTTT